TGTCTATTTGCTCATATGTTTGCTCTATATCTTTGATGATGATATTAATATTTATATCACCAGTTATAATTACAATTTTACATGACGCTATAGTTTTTAAGTGATCGCTTAAGGAATTGATAAAATCATCTGCATTATAGTTAGAAGGAGAACGGTAGATAGCAAGGATTTTAAAGCCAAGTATGGATATTTGTAGGCAAGACGCGCTCATCAGTTTTATTTCTTTGACACAAACTTGTTCACTTCCCTTGTTGCTTCAGCCAGAATTGGAATCATTGGCGTCGACATATTGAGTGACGTGCAGTTTCGTGGTCACATGGAAGAGAAGGCCGAAATGGCCTGTAAAACGCCTGGCGTGCTCAGGACAGCGGGACAGTATTTTATGTCGGCATACCGCCTGCAACTTTATAAAGCGCAGGTTTGGCCTCACATGGGCTGGAGCTCCCCAGTGCCAGCTCCTTCTACATGACCGCATCCAGCGCAGAGTGGCTCGAATGGTCGATAACCTTGTCCTTTCCAATCGGTATCCACCACGGGGACTGCTCTGAGGAATTGATCGAATTAATCCCAGTCGCTAAATTTCAGGCACGCACATCGTGGCTTAACTCCTCATACCATCCACTCCATCTGGATGCTCGGCGGACGACAACTATACTTTTCACTAGAAGTATTCTTCCGCGTACAACCTCTCTGTGGAATATTTTACCACCGGCGTCTTTCCGGATCAATACGACTTAGGGACCTTAAAGAAAAGAGCATACTTCTTTCTAAAAATTCAGCAACGCACCTGCAATTCTTCTGGTGCTGGTGTTGTTCATAGGCGGAGATAGTCACTTACCATCAGGTGAGCCGTATGCTCGTTTGCCCCCTCTCCTATAAACGAAATACAAAAGTCTACAGCAGATCGACTTCATGGAGAAGATAGGAAGGAGAAGGAGGCATTCTTTATGAGAAACTATTTGCTCTCGAACAATTCTGGATCTAACGATGATGAACCTCGATTTAACGATTAATGATATTGACTTCATTATGACGAGCAAGCGGCAACTGTTCATTGAAGGGCGAGAAATACACTAAAACTTATCGTTAAGTTGGGGTGACAAACAACTTAACCATTAGTTCTAAATTCAAAGATTTGTCCGCCACGTACTTTAATAAAACTTTCAGCTTGAATTACAAAATCATTATGAGTGCTCTAATAGGCTCATACAGAGGATAACACAAATGGCAAGCTAGTGGAAACTGTCCATCCACCTGTCCATCGCCAATTCTTCCACGATATGTTTTTCACTTTCATAATTTCTTTATAGTATTCGGTTACCGCAGGACTATAAAGATCCCACTCTTCGGTTTTCTTGGCCCTATTGCAAAGCTTCCTGGTACTTTAATGAGTTTCTTCAGCTTACAGCTCCACGAGGAGAATTTCTCACTGAGGTCTTAGCTTGGACGGGATAACTGCTCTCGAAGGCTTAACGGATTTCCACGGACGAAGTCTCTGTCTCTAACCTTCAATTATCTTAATTTTTTAGGAAATTTTTCCAAATTCCAAATTAACTTATCCTCTATAGACCTCCTAGGAGGTCCTACGTTCCCAAAAATAATCGGTTTTACGATCTGACATCGAGTTTTTACTGCTAACACGCCAGTCAGTTATTCGCCTGGTAATCTTAATATAATTACGTGTCACGTTGTTTGTTCGCGATGGACTCCTAAACAACTTAACCGATTTTAATCAAATTTGCATACCGTGTGCAGTTTTTTTTTACTTGAGAGATAGGATAGTTTTTTTGGCCATGAGTGACCCAAAAATTTTTTTTTTTTGACATTTAATCATTATAATAGGACTTGACAAAGGGTCGTCGAAAAGGGCAGAACAACGTCTGCCTGGCAAGCTTGTGTTATTTATAGCAAAAGATCTGAAACTTTTTGCATAGTTTGCATTTAAAAGGTTGGTTTACACCCTAAGCTTAAGCTTACTCGCGATTAGAGATAAGAAAATAATAAAAAAAAACTTCTCGTATTTCGTTGATGTTAATGTTAATGATGTTAATGCAATGTATGATGTTAATGCTTCCATAGGCTGGATGGTGACCATTAGCATCGCATCGTTTAACTAGTTCGACGATGTGTTTTCGGGCTTAGGTACTCTAACTCAATAAGATAGACCAAGCAATGATAACTATGCATTGATTTATAAAGGCGTTATCAAGTGGTCACTTTAGCCACCCAACGTTCTCGTACGAGGGCGAAGTCGATATTGTCCTATCCAAAGCAACACTCCACCACAGTAGACGCAGCTGCTACATGGTAAAGTAGTATGGTAAAGTAACCGCCGCCATAAGACCTTTTCACCTGCTAAAGATGAAAACGTTGGCGAAAACGCTAGCGCTTTCAACCCTCGCGCATTGCCCTTACTTCCCCTTACCTTAACTTCGATCAGCAGCAGCGGAAGTCAACGACCCAAATTGAGATTGGGTTCCAGACGCTCACATCTACTCCGTACCAGGCTCAGTTCGCGAAGTGGAGGGATGAGGGATTGGGTTAGATTGGAGTTAGGTCGATCCCTGTTCCGGTGCCGTGTCAGAGCCGCGCTTGATTTTAGAAGTTATCATCTTAAGAACAAAGTGGACTCTGCTACCTGTCGCTTGGATAGCCTCCGCCGATAGTTCGTCCAAAGTTACTTAGGACCAATTCTCCTCTTCCCTGCGGTGGAGGATTTTCTAAAACTCTGTAACTCTGTATAGAGCCCTTTATTTTGTGTCTGTATAATTGAGAGCTCTGCATCCGGCCACGGCTACAGGTTCCCAATTTCATCCACAATACAATCCGGTACGCCTTATTTAGTTAAGTTATAGGAACAATTCGGCCCAGCTTGTGGTTGAAACCAGAAAATGTCGGTCACGCCACTGGCTGCATCCCATAGGCTATCTGTGTGTATTTAGCGCGATTGACTAGTCGCATCTGCTCCATACTCATAGGATTCAAGTTGCGGATACGTACGAGAGTCAGCTTTTGCACTGATGCTGGGCTACTTTTCTCTCATTATCAGCTTGACGGATTTTTAGGCTGTTTAGGAGACTTTTCCTCAGCGCGACTGCGTTTATCGCTTTTGGATCCGGGGGATGGTTGGGCCTATGGAGGGGACCTCCTCGGCTGCTATATCAGCTGCTATTAGTCTCCATGCTACTCCACTAAGCTTGTAAGGCATGGTGTATTTCTTCCTGCTCTTTCCCTGTTCGTTTCCAATGGTAGTTCAGCTGCAGGCATGTCCTCCACTTTACGACTCATACCATGTTGACATGTTATGTTGCAAGATGTTGGGGAGGCTATAAGAGCCTCCAAGTCAGCAGATATTTCCTTTGAAGATTTCGTGCGCTTTTTTGCGTGTCAAAATATCGTTGTTTGTTGTCCATTTTGTTTCTACGAATAGCGAGGGAAGTATATGGCCACCCCCGACAAAACCCCGCATGCCTGGGCCTTCCCCCGGCTAAAATACTTGAATGAGATTGTCAGTATATCGGGGTGCTGAAATGTTTGATCAACAGAGTAACGATGGCTATCCGAATACAGAACCACACGAAACCCATCCAATCGCAGAAAGATGCTAGACAGTATGATGTTATGTCCCTGAAACTTCACCGCGTTGTAGTTTTCTTGAGCTACTGGACTGGTAAGGGTATGGTACCTTCGATTTGCCGACGATTTAGTAATTATAGCATAATCACTGAACGACCTTGCTTAATGACGTATAGTGCAATAGTGTTCCTCAACAGATAGGTCTTAAATGAACATGTACAAGACAAAGTTATAATGTCATGTAATGTTGGGAATACGAGAATAAGTGTTTACCTAGAACTAGAACACTTAATAAGTAGTCCGATTAGGTAAATTCAATTTCGACCGGGAGATTACGCCATCTTATCGACACGTATTCCTTAAAACTTAAAAAAGAAAAGGGCTGTAATAATGAAACCGATTCAATAAGAGCTATTTCAGATTTTTATTATTTAATTTGAAAATTGGCCTATCTTGTCTTTCTAAAATAGCAACCCGAAATACCGCCGGGAGGTATGGTCCCATAATAAAAACGAAACGAACCGAATCATCTCACATTTCAGTAAGTAGCACTGGCACCGGAATAGGACGTCTTTTGGGAAACTAGTCAGCAGTAGAGTTTTGGTGATAACTGATGATCTTTAATATAATTATGATAATTTAGCGTAACAACATTCGAATAATTTATCTTTTACCATAAAAACCGGTTTTGTTCAGTGTTCCCATCTATGTTACAAAAGTAGAACTGTGAAAGAAGTGAAAATACCTAAGCATAAAAAATAAATAATTGGTGATTTTTCATGCGGATTTTCCTTTAGATAAATCTTTTTAGATAAATGAATTTTCGCAAAAAAAAACACCGGATTCTATTTAAGTATAACAAATTAACGAAAAAATATTTTCAGTGTTTTAAATTTACCCAATAAGATTTAAAAAATATTTTTTGTAATGTGCCGGTTTGATTTTATTATTATAAACTGCAACAATAAAAGAAATTGCAAAGTTTTTATTTCTGTAATTCTAGTCACATTTGACAAAAAGTGATGCTTTTGGATGCCTTGTAATTTTATTTCAAAAAATCAATACTGACGTCCTTAAAAAGAGCTTTTCTTGTTGGAAGATAGATGGCGTTATAAGTACTTGGCCTAGAAAATACAGGCGCAGTGCTGCTGTATTATGTAAAAGAGCTGTCATTGTTGAATTCAATACGGTGAGGGTGAGATCATACACTCACACATTCACACCGTAACTCATAAGTCTAACTTTGCGACGAACAAGTAGTAGCTGTCAAAATCCGTCTTGTATGAGAATAAACTGTGAATTTATAAAAATGATTCTTATCACATATTTTAACTAATTTAAAGTTATGTATGCCTGGACGAGTACATATAAAGATATATTATCTTGTTTCTTAACAAGTAGTCCATATGCTGACGACAGACACCATGGTGCAGTGTCATCCACCGTTGGAACTGGAAGAATTGCCAAAAGAAGACGAAGAAAGATTAGAAACATTATTTTCTAAATTAGATACTGATGGGAATGGTAAAATTGACATCCATGATTTGTCCGTTGCACTAAAGGAGTTGGCCCCGCACATCAATCGTAGCTATGCAGAGGTTAGAATTTCACATTTTCCCATTCTAAGTAACTGTATTAAAACTAACGGTGATTTCACCTTTCTAATCATTTTCAAGTCGCAACAAATTGCATGATTCATTCAACTTTTTTTTCTTTCCAGAAATTAGGATGATTTTTTCCTATTTCAATCTTTCCTGCTCATAAAAAATGCTTAATACATAATTCCCTCAAAATTTTTAGAATTGTTACCGTATCAAATACAAGACAAAACTTGTTTCTTTTTTAAATTATATATTATAATGTACATTATTATTTTAGTGTGCATGAAATTTTAATTTTATTTAAACAAATCTTATGTACACAAGGTTTTATATAAATTAATGCATAGTGTTTAGTAATTTAAAATAAACCAGCCAGTGGGCTTTAAATTGTATAACTGTCTGCTTACACAACTCTTCACACTATTTGTTTACTTGCAGTGTGTGCCTTTCATTAAAATTTATTATTTTTCACTTCAACCAAATCAAAACAATTGCTTTATATTTATTTTATATTAAATAATTATCTTGTACTGGCCAAAATATTGTAAACGATAAAAATTATTAACTGTCATGATCACAGTAATAGTGTTCTGTCATTGAAAATTGTATTATGTCATTTGCAGAGATATTATTTGATGCATAAGGTATATAAATCTTTTATTGGATTTTATAGATTTGTGAACTATCTTGTATTGTTAATGAACACCTTTGTAATTATTCCATAAAGTAATTTGCTTTTTCCTCTATTATCTAATGAATTTGGTAGAAAACCTTTATAAAAAACTAGTTTCTTTTATATTTCTTTAATCATTTTTCACTAATATCTCTAATATATTTATCACAAGCTTAACATATCCTGAGTGAGTGGAAAATTTAACAACTTCGAAGCTTTTAGTGTAAAATGGATCATTCAGGAGTTTTGTTAGAATTAAATTAGAAAAGTCTAATGAATGAAATTTGAAACTATCTAAAAATTTCAACAAACTTGGTATTTTAAAAATATAAAAATGAAATAAAGCGGTAAATAAATTTTTCTTTTACCACAGAATTATCAATAAAAGAATGATAGTGTTTTTACTAAATATTTTCTTCTTGAACTCATAACAAAACAAAATGATCAGATCAGACATTAGAATGCTTACAATTGTCACCTTATTAGTAAGGATAATGAATGCATCCTGTGTTTAAATTAAATAGGCTAGTTGTAATGCAAATGCTACACAATTTATATAGGGACTGACATGATTATTCAATTTATTATATATTGTTATAGCAGACAGTAAATGAAGATTAATTGATAAAATGATCCCTTTTTTGAAATTTGTTTCCATAGCAGATTTTTTTAAAGAGTAAGGGTGACAAACAAGCACAGAGTCCACCTGATGGTAAGTGGATGCTGTGGCCCATAGACATCTACATTTATGAATCATAACGCAGATGTCTTGTCACCCCTGAGAAGAAAGATGGAATACCTCATTTTCAGTTGAAAAGGATGTCCAGATCTCTACTCTAACCATAAGAAACACAGCAATATTAAGCTGCTATTTTATGCTGGTATTCTGTGAGTGTGGTTCTTCCCCGGTCGAGCCGACCCATTTATGCTACAACCATAATATCCCTGGAATGTGTGTATTATACTAAAGAAGTAGTATAAATATTATATTTCAGAAGTTCAAAGAGTTTTACTATTATACATATTATAAATATATTTGAATAATGCTATCCACTGGCACCAATCACATTATTAATTGCAATAGTAAGTGCTGATTTGTTATGTATATGCTTGATGGTGAGGGAAAACATTGTAAGGAAACCTTAATGTGTGAGAAATTAAAAAAAGTCAAAGGTGTAAAATTCGAATCACGCATGGGAGCTGTGCAGTGTGTTGTTTGCCCCAAAAACTCTCAGTGGTCATGAGAGGCCTGTGCCCAGCTGTGGAGAAGACGGTAATTTTTAATATGTGGTAGAGTCATGCTGCAGATATATTAGTAGTATAGTTGTAGCACGATTGGATCGGCTCGACTGGGGAAAGGACCACACTCTCACAGAATACCAGCGTCAAATAGTAGCTTAATGCTGCTGTGTTTCATATGGTAAGTATAGAGAACCGGCGACCCTTTTTACTGGAGACGAGGCATTCCATCTTAATCCTCATGGGTGACAACGCATCTGCATTTTGATTCATAATCGAGGATGGATGTAGATGTCTATGGGCCACAGCAACCACTTTCCATCAGGTGGACTGTGTGCTCGTTTGTTACCAATCTTATAAAAAATAATTACATTTTATATTTGAGTTGAAATAAACTTAAATCTTTTATGTAGGTGAAATGTTACTGTACTACAATTACCAGCAAGCAATATACAATTTACAGCCTATCAAAAATCCACTGCTGACCGTAGGCAACCCCCATAGATTACCTCATAGGTGGGCTGCTTGAAATAGTTGCCACGCTTGGCAGGCACCTTATCAACTGCAGCTTTTTATTTTCTTAAGATTATTGGCAAGACTCATCTTCGCTGGCGCTGCCCATCTTCTGGTTTGTTACACTGTGTCGCCTCTTACAACACCCGTGGGATATAGTGTTTTGGGTATTCCTATGCCGCCTCAACATGGTTTATTATCTTTTCAGAAATTTCTGGCGAAATCGGGATGGAAGGAGGCGGGAGATGTTACATTATCAGAGTTCATTCACTATGTGCGTGAGCATGAAAAAAATCTTAGGCTGCAGTTTTCTCATCTTGACAAAAATAAAGATGGTGAGTGGTTTAAATTATATATACAAATGCAAACGAGTAATATGTTTTGATATATCAAATATTTTCAATATATGTTCCTTACCTAAATTGGGATTGGACGTGTGAACATTAATTTCCGGTGACATTCAATACTTTAAGTGAAGGATGTACGGCAAAATCATTTTCCAGAGTTACATAGCTCTTTGTGTATAATATATATTGAATAGGCCTACCATCTAGCTTTGGTTGCAAGGTTTATTTCTGTTCGGATTTAAAAATAAATGAATTATAGTATAGCGAAGCTGTTAACTATTCAAATTTTTTCTTCATGTGAGAAGATGAAAATTAGAATAAGAAAGGAATATAATATTATGTTATTTGATAATATTCTTATTTATGATATTATTTCTCCTTTTAAAGGAAAAGTTGATCTGGAAGAACTCATATCGGCATTTGCAGATCTGGGAATAGCAATTGGGAGGAATGAGGCAACAAACCTTTTAAAGAGGTAGGGTCTTAATTTTATTTTATTTTTGCTTGCGAATTTACTTGTAAAAAGCGACTTTTATATTCTTCTATTTAAAGATATTGGCACAGCGAATATTTGTTTTAATTATGCTGCTATTAAGCTTTTAATAGATACCAAACTAAATAAAATAATTTTTTTAACTTTTATAAATTGGATGATCCACAATTTATATTATTTTATTCACTATTATTCATTGTCATGCTTATGTATTTTTTTTGTTTAATTAAACAAATATAATCTAATGAAATTTTGTAGCTTTATTTTTTTTACGTGGTAGAGCCATGCTGCAGCAAAAATGGGTTGGATTGACCGGGTTAGGGTAGTACCACGCTCTCACAGAATACCAACGTAAAATGGCAGCTCAATGCTGCTGTGTTTTGTATGGTGAGTGTAGAGAACCGGAGACCCGCTTCTCTGCCCGGTTTACTGCAAATGAGGGATTTCATCTCAGTCTTCAGGGTTTGACAACACAGCTGCATTTTGATTTATAATTGAAGATTATTGTAGATGTCTATGGGCCACAGCATCCACTTACCATCAAGTGGACTGTGTGCTTGTTTGTCACCCTTGTTCTATAATAATATAAAAAATCAAAACTTGAGGCCCAACTGTAGTACTGTTTTCCTTTTTGCATTAAAACTGTGAGAGTAAGTTGTTGCTACAATTTTTTTAAATAATTTTTATAGTATTTCAGAATAGACTTGGCCTATTATTTTAGTCGTAAGTAAGTAACGATGTGTAGTGCCAACTTTGCTTTTGTAAATATTTGTTCATAATACATTTTGATTATATATTTTGTTTCTTCTTTATAGGTCCGTGAAAGTCCATTGCTGGACAGGGCACAATGTCTTTGTAGGTAGGGTTCGTCTATCGCCACGATTTCTTCATTATCATGCGAGTTGGCGATTGTACTGTCAGACGCCTTGAACTTTTGACACTTACGCCCGTAGCCAGTCTGGCTATTTTACATATGGGAAAAATGTAATTTTTCTGTTATTGCCCATAATCGCATCTTACGACACCTCCTGGACGAAATGTGATGATGGGGATTACTTAACGCCGCCCCCGTACAGCATTTTTTCGTATTTAGTTGTAAACACTGCATGCGTTAATAATTGTCACTATGAAATCCACTGCATCATTGAAAACATTATTTTAGTATTTTATTTGTATCTTTATTATTATAGTTTGATGTTTTAGATTATTAACGTTTTCTTACATGTTACCAAAATAAACTGATAATGAAATGATACCTTCAATCTATATGGTGCTGTAATATGCTATCTTTATCACATCTTATCTATATATTGTGTTTCAGCGCCAAAGAGATATTATAGAGGTAGTCTCTAAAAATATATTTTGTCGTTAGAACAGATGCTTGAAGCAATAGGTTGCCCCCATTGAAATTCATTGAGAATTACAGCTGCTTCCTAAATTTCGAAATAATAACACCTTAAAACACTCAAAAGGTTAAACTCTCTTTCACTAATATAGGAAATGCTAACGCAATTATCATGGTCTTTATTTATTTGCTTCATTTAAAAAAAATCTGATTTTAACTTCTACTACAGCATGTTTAATTTAAAATGTTATTTGAAGTAATGCATTCATTAAACATATCTACTAAGTCTATAAAAAAAGGAATTTTAATAAATTATTAAAATATATAAACTATGCCATTGTGTACTTTTAATTTTTTTTGTATATATAATAAGGATAACACGAACACACAGTCCACAAGATGGTAAGTGGATGCTGTGGCCCATAGATATCTACATTTAACCTCCCCAACCCAAATGCGTTGTCACCTCTGAGGACTAAGCTGGAATGCCTCGTTTCCATTAAAAAAGTCTCTGAATCTCTAAACTCAAAATACGATGTTTCGTATGGTGCAGCAGTATCAAGCTGCTATTTTACGCTGGTATTCTGTGAGAGCGTGGTTCTTCCCCGGTGGAGCCGACCCATTGGTGCTACAACCATAATATAGCTGCAGCATGGCTCTACCACATATAATAAACTAGTGCAGTGGGTACCGTAAGAGGCGAGGGAAAGGAAACAGGAATTTATTAAAACGATAATAACTGCAGTTGGCAAGAAGCTTATGGCCTGAATATGGGATACAGTATCCACTTCCATCAGGTGAACTGTGAGTTTGTCACACTTATTTTATATTAAAAAAGCCTGCTAGGTATGGCATTTATGGCAAATATTGTCCTTAGCAGGCAATCTTTGGGGAGGCATATGTTCAACATAGACACTTAATGTACGTAGTTACTTAATGTATGTACACAAAAACGAAAATAGTTTTATTGAAAATGGTGATGTACATTCTGTAAATACTAGGAACAAGCACAAGTTAGTTATACCAGTAACTCGACTCCAAAGAGTCTGTAATTCCTTCATGGGGCAATGTATACGCTTTTACAACAAAGTCCCAAAAAATATGCAGACCTTATCTATCAAAAAGCTTAAAATATTTATTTAGCAAAAGTTGTTTAGTAATGGTTATTACACTACTAATGAGTACATGATTTATATTAACCCCTGGGAATGAGGTGGTCGGTACCATGCAGTTTCCTAATCTTTTCGTAACAATTGTATGAATTATTATATTGCAAATTGTGCTTTTAAAAAAAAGTCCCACTGGGTTTCTTGCTGATTCTTCCCAGGGCAGAGGTTTTCTTCCGAACCAGTGGTAAAAGTAAGAAATTATTTTCAATAAGTAATAGAATACGATCATTTTACTCAATATAGGTTATATATAATCTATATTGAATAAAATGATTGTATTCTATTCTAGACCTGTGTCAATAGTGAATGATTCGTTTATTTATATCTGGGTCACATCAAAGTACCTATTGATGATGGCAATTACGATCTACAACCAGAGTATGACTTGAATGACCCGATTTGTAAGACAAATCAGTACTTGAACTTGACTTGACTTTGGTCACTGATTGAATTAATGACACGTGTCTCGTTCAATAGTGGACTTTTGAGATGCACTGACAGTGACTGACAATGCACAGAATAAATAATACTACTACGTACGTACAGAAGTAGCACTCCTTTGATTTGCTCTACTTACCTACGTTTTAATAGCCTACATAATTATTATTATTTAGTTAAATCATGGAAGCTAAATTCCTTATCGCTGCGCGCGAGTGTCCGTATGGTCTTGAGTTTTTACTCCTTTCGTCACGGACGATATTTCGTGGTTACCAAGGGCTTTCAATAAGGAGTAAATATACAGTAAGTGTATTTATTAAATTTTAATTGTTTATTTAATTTACAACTGTTTTATTTTTATATAATCTTAATATATATAAATTACGTGTCACATTGTTTGTTCGCGATGGACTCCTAAACTGCTTAATCGATTTTAATCAAATTTGCACACCGTGTGCAGTTTGGTCCAACTTGAGAGATAATATAGTTTTTTTGCCCATGAGTGACCCACAATTTTTTTGCGAATTTAAGGATTTTTAATAGGACATGACAAAGGGTCGTCGAAAAAGGCAGAACAACGTCCGCCTGGATATCATAAATAATTATGATATCGTATTTTATGTGTTTCGTATAACTTTCCATCAAAAATTGTGGTTGTATGTTAAAAAATGTTGACTAACAAAAAAACAAAAACGAGTAGGTATGTCGATGTCGATTGTTGCTAACATTGAGAACGAACTCACTACAGATTGAAGACGTCGACTTGTAAAATAGCGTCACACATAATACTACTACAATAGAGATGCCAATTTTATAATAAATCAGAAGACATGAGTGTACTTACTTTTCTTATTTGACGTAATATAATGAGACCAAAGACTACTTGTCATTTATGCTCTACGCATAAAACACACGCAACATCTCTCAAAAGGATTCTCTTATTGGTTTATTTGAAAATTAGGTTAGAAAATGCGAGTCAAGTGTATTGACTAATTTTTGAATATATATATATATATATATATATATATATATATATATATATATATATATATATATATGTGTGTGTGTGTGTGTGTGTGTGTAATTACTCTAAAGGTGAACGAATACGAGGCGCAGACGGCACGTGCTGCGCGTATGGTGCTTACAAATGTGCGTTCACCTTAAGTATTTCCCATATTTGATAAACTAGAAAATTGTTCGCTGTCGACATTATTTTACTAGACATGACGTCTTTAATCTATATTGATTTGGTCCGCAATGTTAAAAGCGATCAATGCCGGAAAGCTAATAACTTATTTCACAGTGTTTATGGCAATTCACCTAATATTTTACAACATGTAGATGCAAGTAATAATATGTTTTGGTACTTAAAAGTTGAAATAACTACGTATGTGCCCTTCACCTTACGATTAGCGCACAAACCGGGACGCGACGCGGAAATAACTTGAACGATCAAGATCGTGAAGGTCTCGTGCCTTTTTATTGTTATTTACGCAACAAAAGATCTTGTTAGTCTCTAGTTGCTCTATAAGTCAGCAAAGTTCATCGAGTGTATAATATATTGAGGAAACTGACCCGATCAATATATGGTTTTGGTCCTAAAATACGTTACGAGTACATTATCTCTGCTGAAATTAGGCTATTTTTAAATGAATATTATGCTTGAAACATGCTGTGGCCGCAATTGCGTTCTTATAAAATATAGATATATCTTTCGAATTTTTATGACGGAACCGAGATGAAACCGTAAAGAAATAATTGTTCTCAATAGAATTTCTATCATAATCATTGGAAGAAAGGTTCTCAATTATTCCAATGTATTTAAGCAACGTGAAGGCGACCTATAGTTAGGTGGAAAAAGCATACAGGATATATTTTTAAAATCATTGTATGACATATTGGGAAACATGCCATACTGACATGTTCTGGCGATTGAGAGTTACTTGTTTTATCAGATGCTTTTATTTATTTTATCAGTTTCAAGACATTACATTTTGTCAAACTCATGGATTTTTCGAATGACTGATCGATTTCTGTAAATTTTATTATATAATAAAATTTCCAGAATAACATATCAAATCATATATTAAATACAGTATCTCTACCAGTAATACTCTTTTTTTTAAATCACAATTAAAATTCCTGATTTACGAACTTATTGATAAAAGTATGACTGATTTTAAATATAATTCAAGATCCGTCAACTTGAACTAGGTAAGCCCAGTCTGTGGCCTACTCTACAATCCCTAGAATACTATAATATATACATAATAGAACGGGAGTGGGCGGAGCCCGCGTAGCCACTAAAATGTCACTAACACGTCAATTTTCACGTATAACTGTCAACACGAGATGTCTTTTGACGTTACAATTGTTTCCAAATTTCGCATGTAAATTATTTCGAAAATGCCAAATTGCACCCTATTTACAAATAAATATGTATTAAAATTTAAACGATTTTTTAAAATGATGATCTTGAACATTAATCAAAAGTCTAAAATGTGTAAATTTACTCAGTCTGTCAACACAGCGAATCGGGTTTGGCGACGCCAAGCCTCATACAAAATAAAGTTGACAGCCATTCTATTGTGTATTATAGTATTCTATGCTATAACCCTATGAAAGTTGTGCTGGTAAGGCGAAATGTGCCCAACATTATAATGTTTAGTATATTTTTGTGTACATATATTACACTTTTCATAAATGTATTGAGGGGGCAAAGTTAATACATTAACTTCTTAAAAATTTTGTCTTATATATAAGTTTGTTCGCAGGATGGACCAGGATGGCAGTCTTAACATTAGTTACGATGAGTGGCGAGACTACTTACTGCTTGCGCCAGCGACCGATATACACGCTCTCATACATTTCTGGAGACATTCCACGGTAAGGACATTGGTTTTTCATTTTATAAATAGATTTCGACACGCTTAGAATATGGAACATTATTTAAGTATCTTTATATATATAAGATTTTTTTTAAATTCACTTGTTCATTTTATATCGGATTTTTATTTGAAGTAAAATATAATTTTTAAGATATACTTTAGAGGTTGTAATACTGGTTTCTAGACTTTTTAATAATGATATCGTCAGAATTGATTTCACTTAGCAAATCACTTTCAATGCAAACTAGTGATAATTCGACATAGTAAGTAGTGATGCAACAGAACTCTCCACTAAACCTTTTATAATCTTAAACTCATCCACATAAATGATTATGTATTTAGTTAAAGAAATTTATGTCGTATATGTAATTAAGTGCAATCATGAAGACAAAAACAAGTCCTGGACTAATGAGCTGATGATTTAGCAAACAAAAAAAGGCTCACAACTACCGCTTTAAAGAGCCATCTCAAACGCCGAAGAGTTTGCAGAGTTTGAGAAGTTAGTTGAAACTGTAAAACTTTCATCGCAAACTAAAAACAACAAATGGTCAGTCAAGGAATTGCATACCTATTTATTTATAAAATGTATTTGTTATATGCTGCTATGTTATAGTTAAAACCAGATTTTAGTTAAAACGTGTTTTATCCAGTTAAAAATAATTTTTAATAAATGCCTTTGTTACAACTTAGATTTGCAAATTAATTAGGTAGCAGTTATGTTTGCGTGAAGTTTATATTATTTATTTTTTACTTGAAGTTTATATTAATAATTTTTAAAGAAATTAATGAGTATTTTGGATTCAAAGTATATTTACGTCGTACTTTCGTGCTAGGGCTGTACTAAATTACCTACTCACTAAACCAAAATGTGGTTCTTTAAAGAGTTTGCCCAAATTTCAGTGCCTATTTAGCTTTGGTTTATAGATGGTACGCAGCATCGCCAGTGAGCAACTATTTATCGGAGCTGGACTTATATATGAAGAACACTGGAACAAATTGTTAGGTGTTAAAGCGGCCGAACTACTTTCATAAAATATAACTTACCGCTACTTAATTTTGAATGTTAATTAAAAGTTTTATTTGTAATTTTTTTAATAAGTATTATTTCCGTTTCTGCATCCGTTTTTGCAAAAAAAATTTTACATCTGTTTCCGTTTCTGCTTCTGAAATGACACTTCCGTTGCTATCACTAATAGTAAGTCATCATAGTACGACAAATATTTTTTAATTATAATTAAATTGTGAGAGTTGTGAGAATGATCTTTTCTCCGAACAATTTGTAATCATCAAACTCAAGAATATACCTACGCAATGCAATACTTATATTTAATTTTCCTAAATTGTAGTTTGTAAATAATACAGATTAAAATTCGTTGCCTTAAATATGCTTTAATATCTCTCCCACGCGGCGATCTTAAGAATTAGAAAAGCGAGCAATGGGACCAAGCTAGTTTCCTGGCCTTCGCTGAGATATCGTCAGTGGCTCATCAACCGAACATTTTTTGGCCGCGGAAAATTTATTAAAACGGCAAATCGTAATATCGAAGTTGCTAATTTTGCGCATACCCTCTACCTACATCCGTAATAGGATCTCTAATCTTCCGAATCGGTCCGCCACTGTAGACCGGCCATGTGAGGCTCTCAGAGTGTTCTGTTTCATTGTGGAAGAGCAAATGCTCGATAATTTGAGTCAACGGACCTGTATGCTCGTAATTTGTCGAAATATGCAATGCTAATTCATAGTTCGATTTTTTTAACTGTAAATTACAAACGAACTCACAGTCCACCTACTGGTATTGGCTGCTGTAGTCCGTGAACACCTGCAGCCGACTTCAAACTTAGAAGGCCGCATACAGATGCTTGCTCATAAAATGTTACAATCGAATTTAAGGAATACGCCAGCTAATGTATCATGCTTATGCCCCTTTTTTTGGTAGAATGAGGGTGACAAACGAGCACATAGTCCACCTGATGGTAAGTGGATGCTGTAGCTCATAGATATCAATTATCCTTAAAACGCAGGCGCGTTGTCACCCCTGGAACTAAGATGGAATGCCCCGTTTCCAGTAAAAAAGGGTCTCCGGATCGCTACACTCACCATACGAAATACAGCAATATTAAGCTGCTATTTTACGCTGGTATTTGTGAGCGTGGTCGTTCCCCGGTCGAGCCGACCCATTCGTGCTACAACCGTAATATAGGTGCAGCGTGGCTCTGCCACGAATTATACAGTATATTCTCTCTGTGTCGTTTATATGTTTATGTAGTTTATTCTGTTTCGATGAAACCTTATGTGTTTTAAAGCCTAGATTACGTAGTATGTACTAGGAAACACTATTAATTTTAAATCCATATCGGGGTTCCTCAAATAACTATTTACAATAATGATCTAACCTAAACGAGTGAGTAGAGTTGACATTTGAATGACTTTAGTGTCAATTATATTAAAATGGATGCAGGTGGCTCAGGACCGTGCTTTGTGGCATTTCTTGGGTAAGTCCTATGTTCGACAGTGGAATTCAGATCTAAGCATTTCAGATTATATCATTGTTATAAATTTTCGACGGTCTCCTTTTTTGATAAAATCTTAGTAACTTAAATCACTAAAACTTAAAGTAGCATTTATGTTTATGAAGAATCACTTGCTCGTTTTCTTTTTTACATTTTTATCAAGGTTTTGGAAATTAAATAGTTGACAAAGCAAGGGAGTGTATAAAGTTTTATTTTTAACTAGCGACCCGCCCCGGCTCCGCCTGAATAGTATCTATTAAGGTTTAGATAATCATCAAAAACCGTTTATTTTATTATATTTTCTATTTCTCAAAAAATCTGCATGTTTTTGGTTATAATATATCCTATATCAATCTGGCATTGTTCTCTATCTATTCGTCAAATTTCATAATAATTGGTTCCGCCATTCTAAAGATTAGTCCGGGAAGGCACGCAGACAGACAAAAGTTTCAATAATGGCAAAATCCTCCCAATGAGGCCAATCTATGGGGGAGGCATACTGGAGTGGACTTTATAGGCTGTTACGAATGAAAAAATATGAATGTTTTCATTACTTAAAAACCCATTCAGCTCAATAAAAGGCAGTTATCTCGATACTACAGACAGACACTTCATATTTATTTGATTTCGAAAGCAAAAGACTAATTTCTAAAAGAGATTAAATATTATAGCAGGTCACTCGATGAGGTAAATTTTTTAGCATCTGATATTGAAATGGGATACTTCTCTTCTATATAAAATAATTTTTCCCAAACGTATATAAAATATGGTGCGTGTATTACATTATGTTGTGTTGTAACAATTTTATAAAAAAAGCATGTAAATCAATTTAGATAATAATTCTAAGTTGTTATATCACTGTGATGCAACATCTGTTGTTGTGTATCAAGATACAGCGAACCCGTTCATGGTTTTGGACCTTTGGTCACATAAATTAGTTTTGGATAATCATATCGCTATAAAGATGCAATCCGTATGCAGTCATAATATTATCGAGCTTCGCTTTTGAACCAATAGAACAAAACTTGAAGTAAAATGGAAAAATGTGGTTTAATTACATTACATAATTTATTGACTTACACTTGTAGGAAAAATATTGCAAGCCTTTTCGTTCCCACTAATTTAATCAATAAACATAATACATCTTTTTTCTCAATGTTGACTTACAGTCGTCACGAAATAATTATTAATCATAACATTGATAGACAATTTTTTTAATAATAACAATGTGGATTGAAAACACATCGATCCCATATAAGGTTATTTTAACTACACTTGAATTCCAAAGAGTATGTCAATATTTTCTTAGACATAGATAGATCCATGAAAACTTTATTTAATAATCTAACATTAGAAAAAATATTGACTTTAAATGAGATTCCAGAGTGTGAAAACTGTACATCATAAAACTTTAATTTCTAAATTAAAAAAATAAAGTAATACAAAAACATTTTATAGGCGGCTATTAATTAAAGAGTTAATAATGAATGAAAGATCCCATGACATTCATAACGCATTTGTATTGGTCGGACATACTTAGAATGAGATTGTCAATATCCTGTTGAGGATATTGTCCCAGATCCTATTGAGATGTATAAAGCTGTTCCTCTGTAACCAAGGATCCTCAATTATTTACATATCCTAAACATATTCAATGGGATTTAAATCTGGGGATTTTGCTTGCCATTCTGGGGTCATGAAGTCATGTTGATGCAACCAGGTTGTTAGCCCCCTGGCCGTAAGTAAACGGGCATTGTCGTGTGTAAGCAGGAAATATTGACCCATTTGTGTTCTATGTGGCAAGACTATTGGTTATAGAACCTCATTACGGGATTTTTCTGTCGTCATAGTGCCCTATATCCAAACGAGGTTCATTCTTTCACCAAAACGAATTCCTGCCCACACCTTAATTGGTATAATTAACACCACCTTGGTATGGATGTACTTCTTGAGGATTTTGAAGTAGGCTTATACGACCAGGAACTCTCCAAACACGTACTCTTTGTCAAGGTTGGCGTCGTGCAGTCTCCTTCTCACAGTTTGGTTACTGACAAGTACCTGGTGTTCAGTCTGTAGCCTTTGGATCAATTGCATTACTGTAATATTTGGTTGCTCTGGTCTGGTCTGGATGTCTCTCCGCCACCTCTCCGTGGCACGATAGCATGACCACAACCTCGAAATCAAATTTTGCCTGGTGCCTATTGTCGCAGCGACGTCACGTTGAAAAGCACCAGCCTGCAGCACTCCCACTGCTCTTAACATCCCCTCTCCAGTTAAATGTTGACGTCAGAAAAAGATTTTAAATTTGCGGTTATGAACAGAAAAAATTACAATTATTCTGAGTACAAAATACGCTCCCTCTCGTTCAACTCATTTTAACCGTCAATACTTTTTAAAAAAGTAAATTAATTGTTATGAATTATTTATGGGTGCGAGAATACAATAAACGAAAAGTTTCGTAAAAATTTAATTTGTTTTATTGGGCTG